CACACACACACACACATAGACAGACACACATGCATGTGTCCGGTGGCAGTCGATTAGACACTTGTGAGCCTATCCACAAGATCGCATGCCCAAGACACGGAGGCGTCGAGCGGGGCCCTCAAATGGGGGCTCGTCGCCTGGATTTCTTCGAGGTTGTCAGTCTGTACCATCGCTTGCGAGCATGCAGAGGGTAGAGTTGGTGGAGCGGGGAGAGAGGCTCCATACTGGTCCGAGGTAATGGATCAAACAGGTGCAAAGGGTTGGATGGCCGCGAGTCAAGCACAGTCAACCTCGGACCGATAGACTCGAGAGTGTGTCTCGAGTGGCACGACAACATGCACAATAAAGCATGGCTGCCATGGCCGCCAGACTGGATGGGCCGGAGCTACATGTCAGGCTGACATGTGCACAGTAAAAGTGTGACGAGCAGACGGACAATCGCAATGTCGTGGAAATGAGACAACCGAACCAACCGAGATGGCGGAGATCAGAGCGCCCGCAACTGGATTCGGATCTAAACAGACAGACCAGATGCGGAGTGAAGAGGGTCACTGAGACTAAATGAGACTAAATAGAGGCCGAGGCTGACGTACAGGACGGGCAGGAAGGAAGACGAGACGAAAGAAGTGTCACACTATCAAGTCTGCATGTATCTAAAGTTGTCCGTTGCTCCCTCTCTTTCCTCTTTGTGTATGCATGTACGTGTGTGTGTACGGATGCAAGCCTATTTGGCGTCTGATTGCGACAACTGTGAGGATCAAATTAACCTCCAGGCCAGGCAGGACGGCTACGTTTGTCTAATCTGACCTGAAATGGGGCTATAGAAATGCGCCATGTCGTCGCGATGGGGAGAATGGCTAATGCAGCCCTAGTTACCAAAACTACTTTCCTCAGAGGATATCTATATTTTTCCCCCAAAGCATTCTTTGGAGTGAATGGAAGAAAGGTGGTGCCGTTCCCCAATCATTGAAATGGAATACAGTTTTTAGTACTGGCGTATACTGCAGATGAAATAAAGTGTAGTAGTGATCTGATCTCGTTTTTACAATTTGGTCGTGTTGTCAAGGCGACCAAATTGCACGCATTTTGTCCAAGATATTCGGCTATAGTAGTTATGATTAAAGCCAGCGTTTGACCCTTAACTTAAAACAATTCCAGACTTTTCGCCAGCACCAGGTACCAAATCCACGGCACAATGCTATAGCGGACGACCTCGAATAAGGCGCATCCAAATAGGTCCCCAAGAACAACACGACCAAGTTGCTAAAACGACCACAACATTCGAGTTTTCATACTTACGTTGAAATAGTGTGTAATCTAAGGCTCTCCGGTATGCGAAATGTGCCGCGTCTATATGGAGAAAAAGTTAGTGTGACTCAACTTTACTTTTGGAAGAATTTGTTAGCAACCCTGCCAGAAAACCGAATAAAGCTCACTTGGAAGTTGGAGGCCTTTGTTTATCAAGCGACAGATGACAATTGTCGTCGGATCAAGAAACAATAAGTTACGAACAAGTGCAAGAAGATGGCAAACAACGAGAAAAGGATTAATCTGTTTGTGTGCTATTTCGCAAGATATGATTACTTGCTGTGACACTGTTGTAGCAATGGGGCAGACGAAAGTTCAAGACGGAGTGTTGAGCAAGCGTCATTCGGTTTCTGCTGAGACCAATTGACGAGTTGACCTTTCCAAACTTTTCTGCTAAATGGAAAATTATAGAATAAGATAGACCACTGCCAACAACAGAATAGGGATCAGTGTGAACGCTAAAACTGGTGCCAAGAAATTAAGCAACAACCAACTGTGATTAATTGAGAGACCAAGGATGGAAAATCAAGGATGGACTCAGCTAATATCTCAATATTAAGCAGATTTTGATACATCAAACTAGTATACCCTCAACCTTGGTATTAATTGATGCCAAACTTTCTACCCACGGGGTCAGAAAGATAATTACCTCAGCCGCACGAGTGTCCGGTACTGCGTGGTCGCAGTGATTAGTCTCCATGGGTCAAAAAGACAACTTCATTCGCCTTCCATTCAAAAGTCGGCTTTCAAGAAGATCCCAAGATCTTGTGTATAAGAGTTGTATTTGTCCCATTTCATCTAAGGTGATGAAAGAGGGGTAGTTGAATTTTGCCAATTCATTGAATTCCACATGGCCTTGCCTCCAAAAAGACATTCTCATTCCAGCTGGAATGGACTGCAGTTTCGATCTTGCCTGGACTGGTCTCCCCAGCACCCTCAGGGGGACTCGAACCCGACAATGTACAGTCTTGACATGTCAACCGCTGTGCCCCACCGCCATGAGTGCTCTTGGGTTGGGGGATAAAGCTGAATTTCACACAAGAATATTTCCGTGATGGGCTCGTCGATAAGGCAAAGATGTATTTGCAATAACATTCGACCCAATTACTTAGTTTCCATTTATAAGTAGGCTTTTGAGATTACCAGTATATCTTATTTAAGATATGAGTCAAAAAGAAAAGATCATTAGATTTAGTGATCTCAATACCGAAGATCCTGACCTGTTCTGATCACTCAAACCATTGTTTGTTCTATATGTCAACACTTACATGCTTAAAACACACGCAAACATACAATCCTGACCTCAGCTATGCATAAATATAGATAGATCTTCTCGCGGAATATCCTAGTCTTTCTATGTCTGTCACTGTTTGAGTTGATTTATGAGTGCATGTATGGCGATAAATGACTAGCCGGTTGGTTTATTCAACTCGCTGTAGGCGACAGCTTTTGAGAGGAATTCATTACTGCTCTGAGGACCTATACCAACCTGTAGGAGAGCCGAAAATTAAATTCTCCTTGACCGTACCCGAAGGTGGCTGCTGATCCGAACGTTACCCCATTCTACCTTCCACATTATTTTTGTGAGATCTACTTACAAATCTCATCACACACATGCACCCACACACTTCAACTCTAAATAAAAGTCAAGTAAACTGGTCCACAAGGACCAATTGCCCAACATACATACAATACAACCAGTTTTAGTTCATTTGACCTCCTATTTCGTACAAAATTTTGAGTGCGTTTGCAGTATCTTTTTTATATTGTCCAAACATGGCATCATGTTGCCCACTTTGTCTTTATAAGGTTCCAAAAGAATCATGATTTTCCATACCCATACGACATAGCAGGTCTGTTGCCATGGCTAAATGATTATGTCAAAGGAAGACTTTTATTATGAGTATCTTTAAAAACCATTTTTCAGCGTTGCTCTACAGCCAGTTGGGATGACGGTGCCTAACTCTCTATCTCTAGCCTGATGAGCCAATGCAGCCCCGACGGCATACCGAAAGTGAAGAGTGATGATGGGAAGTTCCACTTTTGACGATTAATTTGATGACTTTCACATAGCTTTGCTTTCCCAAAAGTTGACCTCATCCAAGCACCAGTGGACTGCAGTTTCGACCTCGCCTCGGTCTTATCAACACCCCCAGCGGGAGTCGAACCGTGACA